GCTTGCACCTGGCACGGGCACCGTAGCCAGCCCGTGCCCCTTTAAGGGCTCCGGGGCCGGGAGGGGGGCAGAAGAGTTTCCCTGGTGGTGCCCAGAGTGGCCACCAGGTAAAGCTGGGGAGGGCTAGCCTCCCACTAGTTCGAATTAAGGGGCTACACAGCCCTTAATTCGAACTACTTAATTCGAACTAGGCGTTAGTCCTCATAGAATGAGGTTTATCTAGTTCGAATTAAGCGCTCCGCCAGTTGGAATTAAGTTCGAACTAGCGGTTTGCCTGTGTAGCGTCTATCAAAGTTAATTCGAACTAATGTCTGTTAGTTTGAATTAACTTTGTAGTGTAGACATACCCTCAGTTTCCCCTCTCTGCTAGTTTCCCCACTTCTAAAGTGGGGATAGTAATCCTCCTCTCAGAAGGGAGTTATGTCAATGCCTCTGGGCCTAGGATTGCTCTGGAAAAGAATCATATCACTGGTGGGTGTTGATGGCAGCAGAGTGTAATGAGCTTAACAGAGCCCAGATATTCAGTGGGAAAAAGTTCAAACCCTGGGCCATGGAGGGACTCTACCAGGGTTCAGATTGGCATTTCTGTCACTGTTGTGGTCTTTTAGACTGCAGCTGTCCCCCTACCTTCTGCCCCTACTCTCCCAAGCTGTTGCTGCACTCTTTGAACCACTGGGAATCACCAGTGTTGGATTTTGTGCCTGTGCAGAGCCAGAGTGGCATTGATGACAGGCAGGAATCTCTCCATCTCCTCAGTGATGGACAGGAAGAAGGGAATTTGTTTCCTTCTGAAATACTAAATCAAGGCTGCCGCTGGAAGTGGGAAATTGGGCTTGATTGACAAGTCACTCCTATAAGCCAGTTCAACCATCAAATCAAATGGAAAACTCATGGCATAGATTTGCAGTCCTTACACAGGCAGCACTTCCATTTGCATCAGCGGGAATTTTGTCTTGAGTAAGGGCTGCAGAGCTGAGTCAAGGCCTTTCCATTTGGTGTGATGGCAGAACTGGTCTTTAGAGTTTACAGACTTGACCATAAAGTCCAGCTGCAGCCATAATGGATCTTTTGTTTAGGCTGAGCCAAAGCTGATGCCATTAGGGCTGCAGTGAGTGATTGTGGGAGGCAGGTGATGTATGATAGCTCAGGATGAGAACGTCGTCGTACAACTATACCTTGGAGTTATGGTTCACCATATGGTGCAGCCCAGTGGAGCTACCTGGTTGCCTGCATAACCCAGGATTTAACATCTGTCACGGGCTGAGCTTTCTACTTCCTGTAGCAGTGTTTGGTTTAACCCTTTATGTATTGTTACCTGAGCACTCTCGCCAAGATACCTGCTTGACCCTTCTTAGAAGCTGGGTAGTGAGGCGCTCAGGCTCTGGCTGATGCAGACTGAATGGTGTCCCCTCAATATTCTCCTTAATGGCAGCTTGAGACACAGTGATAGTAGGAACCAACCTGGGAGAGGGACGAGGAGCAGATGGAGGACTTCACAGAGGCTCTCCAGTAAGTGAGTCTGACTGTTGATGGCCTGACCTTTCCTGCTTGCTTTCCTGTATTTGTACAGTGAGACTTATAATGAATCAGTGTCTGAGCACACCTCTTTGTCGCATGGCATGCTACTGCATCGACCTACGTAGCTTTCAGCACAGGTGACTTGAGGCTGGGTCACATCAGAATCCACTCCTTCCTGGGCAGTCAACTCCAAACAAATACAAAACCTGAACAATCCTCTGTCCCCCTTGGGCTCAGCTTCTAGCCCCTCCTGGACTCTGTTCAGTTTCCATCACTGTTTTGTAGAGTGCTGACTCTTAACGCAACTCTCTCTGGAGACTCTAACCCAGGGGTTTCTGTGGGAGCCTCCTTCTAGATTTCACATTCCCTCTAAGAGTATGTCTACACATCCAAGTTAATTCAGAATAACAGCCTTTATTCTGAATTAACTTCCATAGCGTCTACACAAGCAAACCGCTATTTCGAATTAAATTCAAAATAGCAGGGTGCTTAATTCGAGTTAGTTAAACCTCATTCTATGAGGAATAATGCCTAACTCGAATTAGCTAATTCAGAATAAGTGCTGTGTAGCACTTCTGAAATAGGGGGCCTCCAGCCTTCCCAGTTTCCCCTGGTGGCCACTCTGGGCCAAACCAGGAAAACTCTTCTCCCTCCCCAGCCCAGGAGCCCTTAAAGGGGCAGACTCTGGCCACAGTG